GACACTTGCAATGCTGGATGGAGCAGTCACCTTCTTTGCTTCTAGGTACAGGGCTGCTCATCTGCGGAAATGAGAGGATGGTATGTTCTCATCATACTGGAGCCCTAGGTACATCTTTCGCAGTGTACAGTATGGAAGGCTCTGTTTGGCACTCACAGCCAGCGGTCAGGACGCAAGGACCTGCGATGTTCTTGCTCTGCCTCTTAAACATCCAGCGGAAAGTTTTGTGACTCGGGGCTTTGAGGGTTACCGGCCTTTCGGGCCTAGTGGAGCACTCTGCCGCGCCATGGTTTGCGAAATGATTGGATGAGGCACAAAGGCTGTGGGGACTACGCACGGTGTCGTTTGCGGAGACTTTTGTCCTTCTTATTGGAGGCTTGCAATTCCTGGCATATGGCAATGCAGTTCTGGATGTGGCATTCTTGGGCAAGGTTATCATGGCGGGTGCAGTGGTTCTTTCCTGGATGCGAATCCGCATGGCCTATGTGAGAAGGGACAGGCTGTGGCCTTTTGACTCACTTTGCAGAGCATGGGTTTGTGAAGTTATGCGTTTACTGGCGTGCTGCGGGGTCGCTCCCGGTCTCAGGATGGGCTAGATGCCTGCAGGTATCAATGCACTGGGGGAATGTACAACTGTACAATGCACATCGTGCTCACTTGCGTGCAGTGAGTGGATCTGCCGGCCGTGGTCATTTGCGGGAAGGGTCTGCGTGGCTGCAGGGGACGTCAGATTCGAATGCTGCTTCGGAGACCTCTTTTCAGTTTTATTTACTAGGTGCTTGCAATGCTGGCGTACTGCAGGGTCGCTCCTGACGTGACATGAACTTGGCTCAGTGGCGCAGATGTGGCTGTTTGTTTCACTTTGCCGGGCAAGGGTTCAGGAAGGTGTACTTTTACTGGCGTACTGCGGGGTCGCTCCCGGTTCCGGGATGGGCAATGGGCCTGCAGGTATCACTGCGCTAGAAGAATGTACAACAGTACAATGCAGATGGAGCTCACCTACATACAGGAGGTGCTTTTGCAAGCCGTGATCATGTGCGGGAAAAAAGACATTACAAGGCAGCAGAGGCGACGTCAGATCCGCATGATCGCCCTGTGCTTGTAATGCTGGCGTACTGCGGGGTCACTCCTGATGTGACAAGAACTTGGTTCATTGGCGCCGGAGGTGGTTCTTTGTGAAGGAAGTTGCATGTTCAGTATGCCTGAGGCGGTGCAAACACGTAGTAAACGCTGTGCGAATCGAGGAGCATTAGGCAGGTTTGTGCAGACACAGACATTTTCTTCTGATCGGCAACTGGCGTTTTGCAGGGTCGCTCCTGCTTCTTTCATGGTGTGTGGCTTTGCGTTTTCTGGAAATGTACACGTTCACTGGCGTACTGCAGGGTCGCTCCTGGTATTGTCACGGACATGCGGGAATCAAGGACGAGACGGTGGAAGTTTGTGACGGGAAGAGGCAATGTGACTATGTGCCAACCTTGGATCTGCAGTTTGGGGTGCGCATTATTTACATCGTTCGGAATGCGTCACAAGGAACGCGCTCTGGCGTTTGGATGCAATTTCAGCAGGGTCTTAACCCACTCAGCTTTGCGTGATGGCGGTGATGCTCCGCAGATACATCCTTGAGCACAAAGCTTGGGGATAGTACACACTTTTTAGTGCATGCCGCCTGCCATCTGGTAGCTAGGAGTTTGGACACTTTGTGCACTACGATAGCCTGGTGGGGTCGGGCTTTTATGGTCTTTGGATGGGTCCCTCTGTACAGTTTTTTCGGGACGTCAGGATGGGATGTATTCGCGGGCCTTGCGCCCTTGTTAGGGGCCTCGTTTCCGCTTAGGCTGAGCGATGGCCCGGCACGTATCTGTGAGTCTCCGATTAAAAAAAGGTTGGTCCGAGCATGCGAAACTGCTTGAGCCGCGCCGTCGCCTGTGCGTGCTTCGTCGTGCTGGTGGTGATTATTAAACATGCCGAGACTGCTGGAGCTGTTTTGCGGCACAAAGTCGATTGGCCGAGCCTTCGAGGCCGGCTGCCACGAACGGCTCCATCGCCTCGGCCAACAACGCCACGCTGGCCACGGTGGCAGCCAACTAAGCGCGCTGCTGGCCTACCGGACGGGCCCGGACCAGGACGTCTTCACGACCAACCGGCGCTGGTGGCGTACCGCTCAGCCGCCGACCAGGACACGGCGACGGCCTCGAGCATCGCAGCCGCCCTGCTCAGCTACTACACCATCGCGCAGGTGCCTAGCCGGCAAGCTCGGAGTCACGGAGGCAGCCTCACCCAGAACTGCTGCATGAACCCCGGAACACGAACGCCTACGTGGACCCGGCCAAGTTGCGGGTCGTGGGCAAGAGCTCCGTGACGAACTTCGAGTTCCAGATCAACGACTCGGAGGGGTTCCTGGCCTTCGTGGAGACGCTCAAGACGAACCGCAGCAGCGCCTGCATGAGCGTGCCCAAGTCGGCGCCCGCACGCTGCAGCTCTCCCGGCTCATGGTGGAGAAGCTCTCTCTCTTTAGAGGGGGTTTCCCAAATGGATTCTATTCCACCTGGTAGGCTCCTGACACTCGTCCGTCCAGGAAACGACCTCGTCCTGCGAAGGGTTCGAAACCTAAAACGCTGCGTGCAGGCGTGTGGCTGCAACATAACGACCCCTAGATATGCTTGCAATTTAGCTCCAGGTTGCATTTCAAGCGAGCCAACCTTTGCAGGGCTAAGAAAAAGCAAAAAAAAAAGAAAAAGGGGTCCCCAAAAAAGGGGTCCCGAAAAAAAGGGAAAAGGGGTTTCCTTTGGCAAAGGTTGACCTCGCTTGCAATGCAACCTGGAGCCAAATTGCGGCGCATATCTAGGGGTCGTTATGTTGCAGCCACACGCCTGCACGCAGCGTTTTAGGTTTCGAATCCTTCGCAGGACGAGGTCGTTTCCTGGGCGGACGAGTGTCAGGAGCCTACAAGGTGGAATAGAATCCATTTGGGAAACCCCCTCTAAAGAGAGAGCTTGGTCTGCTCTGCAAAGAAGCGTGCTCTGCAAAGAAGCGTGCTCTGCAAAGAAGTGTCTGCAAAGAAGATGCTCTGCAAAGAAGCGTGCGCTGCAAAGAAGTGTGCTCTGCAAAGAAGTGTGGTCTGCAAAGAAGCGCAAGTGTGCTCTGCAAAGAAGAGTGCTCTGCAAAGAAGTGTGCTCTGCAAAGAAGTGTGCTCTGCAAAGAAGTGTGCTGTGCAAAGAAGCGCAAATGTGCTGTGCAAAGAAGCGTGCTCTGCAAAGAAGCGTGCTCTGCAAAGAAGCGTGCTCTGCAAAGAAGTGTGCTCTGCAAAGAAGCGCAAGTGTGCTCTGCAAAGAAGAGTGCGTGCTCTGCAAAGAAGTGTGCTCTGCAAAGAAGAGTGCTCTGCAAAGAAGAGGGCTCTGCAAAGAAGCGTGCTCTGCAAAGAAGAGTGCTCTGCAAAGAAGAGTGCTCTGCAAAGAAGCGTGCTCTGCAAAGAAGAGTGCTCTGCAAAAAGAATTGTGCAGTGTGCTCTGCGAAGAAGAGTGCTCTGCAAAGAAGTGTGCTCTGCAAAGAAGTGTGTTGCGCAAAGAAGCGCAAGTGTGCTCTGCAAAGAAGAGTGCTCTGCGCAAGTATGCTCTGCAAAGAAGAGTGCTCTGCAAAGAAGCGCAAGTGTGCTCTGCAAAGAAGAGTGCTCTGCAAAGAAGTGTGCTGCGCAAAGAAGCGCAAGTGTGCTCTGCAAAGGAGAGTGCTCTGCAAAGAAGCGCAAGTGTGCTCTGCAAAGAAGTGTGCTGTGCAAAGAAGCGCAAGTGTGCCTGAGAGTGTGCTCTGCAAAGAAGCGTGCTCTGCAAAGAAGTGTGCTCTGCAAAGAAGTGTGCTCTGCAAAGAAGCGTGCTCTGCAAAGAAGCGCAAGTGTGCTCTTGAGCTGCCTCTAAAGAGAGAGGTGGACTTGTCAATATTGATCCATTGTTGACTCAAGATGATTCAAGATTGATTCAATATTGACTCAACAATGAAGCCTCCGCTGCCGCGCCACCTGCCCGGCTCGGAGCCACCCGGCCGCGCCACCTGCCCGGCACTCCTCCGGCCGCGCCACCTGCCTGGCATAGAAGCCTCCGACCGCGCCACCTGCCTGGCATAGAAGCCTCCGGCCGCGCCACCTGCCTGGCATCAAAGCCACGCCAGCCCGCCGAGTCACACGGATCATACGGATCATACGGTCATACGGCGGCGGCTTGGTGCGCCACCCGGCCGCGCCACCTGCCCCGAGGCACCGATGTCCAAAAACACCACTGCCAGGCCAGCGCCGGCGAGGAGCAGGTCGCTTCCGGAGTCGCCTTGCCGTCAATCCTGTGCTGAGCGCAGGATTGCCCCCCGTCAATCCTGTGCTGGGCGCAGGATTGCCCCCATCAATCCTGCACTGTGCACTGGGCACAGGATTGCCAGTCGCTGCATTAGGGGGTCAGCAATGCCCTCGCATTGCCTGTCCCTGTGCTTCGTTCCGCCGCTGGTGCAACCCCGCACTGAAGAGGGGGACTTTGCGCCTGGGCCTCAATCGCCTGTTGCCGGGGTTGCCTTGGGAAGCACTGAAGGAGGGGAACATCTTGCCCCTTGTCCTAGGTGCACCGCAGTGCCCTAGGAAAGTGCCACCTTCCCAAGCAACCCGGTAAAAAGGTGTGCGCCTTGCTGTCGGCTTTTGGGTTCTGGGTTCTTTGTGGTTTGAGGCTAGGAGCAGTGCGCGGGACCTTTAACACTACAGGTCCCAGGCGCACCGCGTGTGCCCTGATTTATGCAAACTCGGAAAAAACATGCGTGAGTGCTGGGGCCGTTTCTTATTAGGGTTCGATGGTAGAACCAAAAGGCGCCTTTGGGTACCCAAATCCATGAAACTCCGGTCCGATGTCGGGTACCGTTGGAAGCGCAAGTCGGAATGATGCAACTTGCATTGCAAAACGCAGGCAGGCTCACCATACAAACATGTTTGATTTGCGCAAGGGCAAGTCTTGCACGTTTGGCGTTACCCACTTTTATGGCTCAAGAAGTTTGACATGTGAGACAGGCCAAGGACAGGGATGGGTTCAAAGGGTCAGGCAGCAGACCTTTTAGTCTTTGCTGCTGACTCCACCTTGCTTTTTGTCACTTATTGCATGAGCCTTGCGTTGGAATATTTGCACAGGCGGCTTTTGAGGTTTTGTTGCTTTTGCCTTCAGGAGATGGGTGGCAAGGCGAAGCCCACAAAACACACTGCCAGAGAGCTGGCGCAGAAGGATGGACGTTGTGATGCTACATGATATTACTGCACATCTGCATTCTTTTAACCCCTCTTTTGATTCTGGTTGTGTTGCAAATTCTGGCACTTCTTCTAGATTGACCTCATAAATAGATATGCTTAGCTCCTTCGCTTCTTCCAGATATGTGTTGTAACTTTACTCCCTGATGCAGTTTCAGGAGAAGGATGCAACCGTGAATCGAGGTGGCGGATCAGCCGGAGTGAAGGCGAGGATTGACATCTCATCCTATTGCACTCACGGCACTCAGAGCATTCTCTGGTTCGCGACCGCTCTTGTTTTGCGAGGATCGCGCGGGTGGATCAGTTGGACACTCCAAGTACAAGTGCAACATTTGCATGCAGTCCGCACCAGATCCGACGCTTGGGTGCATTGAGCAGATTGCATTGCGTTGATTCACATGACTCCAGCCTAGGAAGTCCATGCAGATGCATTTCGAATCCAAACATCCAAAGGAGGACGAAATCCTCTTCATTTGTTTCAATTTTCACTCACATTTCCTTCAAATACAGGACTTCAGCCTGGAGAAGTGCACAGACCAGCACGCAGTGGCTGGCGGAGTGACAACACAGGGAATTGGCGTGAGAGGTGGCATCAAGAAGCATCACAATTAGATGCCATTCCAAGCGCGGCACTGTGCCTGCCATCTTTGCAATTCTTGCACTGATTGCGAACACGTTTCACTGACCCTCCTAAGACCTGTGAGGTTCTTCAGCAACCTGCACTGGCAGAGGATGTCGCGACTCGCAACAAAGATGATCTTGTGGGTGAGAATATTGCGCCAGCGCGTCGCGGTGACGCAAATCAGTGTGTCATAGCGTCGTCAGGGTCCGTAGCGCTCGGTCAGTCGGGCCAGTCCAGTTCAGCTTGCCAGTTAGCCCCTGAAACAGACTTAACTTCAATCGGCAAATTCGCATTCCCACGCCTCCTATCCACGGCACCCCCCCAAGCCGAAAGACCTAAAGACCTAAAGGCTCAACCGAAACTGAAGCCAAGCCTCGCTGAGAAATCCCGAGACGAGAGAGACACATTCAGCTCAACACCGCGCAAGAGTTAGATTTGGCCTGGCGCAACTTCGGAAAATGTTAGAACGCCCGAAAAAACAAAAATCCGCACACCGTATTCCAGTAATACCGTCATACCTTAGTATATTCATTCTTATTTTTGAATATATCAAGGTATTTTACCAAAACGAAAATTGAATTATTTTTTGAAAAAATCAAGACACCTAAACATTGTTATTTTCAATACCACATATTTTCCAAAATATTTTAGAAATTATATTTTTTTCAAAAGAGATAAATATATATAGCATTTTAAGAAGAATTATTCAATAAGAAACAACATTTTCAATAATTCAATGAGAAGACTTAATAATTAATCATTTTTCAACATTTGGATATTCCGAAGTTGCGCGTGGTGCTCCTTGTAGGATTTTATCTTCAATATATAAAACGCTATACTTACATTATAATTATAACATATAAGGGTATAAATGTTATAATCATAGTATGATTATAAACATTTAAAAATCGGGGCTGTATTTCATTTTGCATTCGTGTTTAATTTTTATTGTAATGGCATATAGTTCTTGATAATTTTTGACTGGACTGAAGCCAGCCTTTCTAAATAATTCTTTGATGTTTAACTCTGTTGTTGATTGTCCATTATAATACTGTAAATAAAAAACATAAATACGTTTCATTAAATTATATCTTTGTTTAGACATTTTAGGAAAACTACTTTTATCTGGAAATTTACATTGTGTAACAAACAACCAGTTTTTTATATTTGCATTGTTCAAGAATTCGACATTATGATTTTGTACATATTCAATCTCACGGATTGGTTCCTCTCTTCTTTGACAGAAAGTACATTTATAAGTAAATTTGTAAATTTAATATATTATTTGGTAAATTTATGTGTCCAATGTCTCTATATCTGTTTTGATTTAAGTAGTTTTTACATTTACAAGCATCACATTTATTTTTGAGTTCTTGTTTAGTGTCATTTACTAAAACAATATCTAAGAATTTATTAATAATTTCTTCTTGCTCTTTCTCTGTAAATTGAACCATTTCTATTATAATATATATAGTGTTTATTTCTTTAAATACATTTTACAAGAAATATTAAAATATTATTTAGATTATTATCATTTACAGCTACAATTGCACCTAACACAGTAAGGAATAATATTATTCAGTTCGTGCGACAACTCGTTTGATTTACGTTGCGCTGTCAGATTTGTCATTATATTACCGTTTTTAATATCCATAGAAAAACCGCATCCGCAGTAATTACATTGATTAGTGATATTATTTCAAAACCATTGCGTATTTACATAACCTTCTTTAGGTATTGTTCTTTTGGCTTTCCTGTCTTGTTCTTTGTAATTTAATATTTTCCTTTCAAAATAACTCATAATACATTTTTGATTAAATACATCATCAATATCTTTCGTAAATTTATAAAATTTGACTTTGTTTAAATCTCTACACCTTGTAATTGCTGTCCATATCCATTCTGGATAATTCTTTACCAAAAAATGGTTATAATCAAAAATTGTTATGGTATCATCAATGCTACTGCCTTGGGCAGAATGACAAGTCGAGCAATATGCAAATATAAAATTACTTCTTATTTTATCAACTGACAAAGACTGTAGAATTTCAGTTTTAACATTTTTCAACGTAAAAAATCCATCGCTTCCAATATGAACAATTTTATATTTGAAATTTTCATTAAAAACTGATGTTTTAGTTGTGGAATATTCGCGACAGATTAAGAATTCTCCTACTTCATATTCATCTTTTCTATTTTCTAATTTTCTAATTTCATTTGATACATTTTTACAAGTTGTATTTAAAAATGCTATATTATTTTTTGACCCGCTAATATCTGTTGTATATGTATTTTTTTCAATAATTGTTTTAATAGGTAATTTGTAAATAAAAATATCATTGTAAATGTTTTTGAGTTTGATTTTGTCATCTGCATTGCTAAGTCTTTTACATTCTTTCAACAAAATGTTATATTCAAAAATATGATTAACTATATTATCAGTGTATGTTTCATAATCCTGAGTGTTGGTTATTTCTTGAACTGGTTTTAATTGCTTGGCGTCTCCTGTTGCTATTATGATTTTATTGTGTTTGTTCTGTTCTACAAATTGTTTTATTCTCCAGTATGTATTTAAATTACTAAAATAAACTTCATCAAATACTATAACGTCGGAATCTGTAAAATCAAATGGTTCTAATTTATTTATACCAAATAATTTATTTATCGTCATTGCTTCTCCTTCAAATGCCTGCAGTAATTTGTTAGTAGGTGTTACAAAAATTACTTTATAACCCTTATCTACAATTTTTTGACATATATAACTTTTGCCAGTGCCGGGCACTTCTCCCCTAATCATCATAATATTGTGCTCTTTAATAATTTCACTAATATTATCTGTGTCATATTCATCTACAATATCAATAGTTTTACTTTCATAAACTGGTATTTGTATTAATTCGTTTTGTGAAACTTCATAATCTACAGTAGGAAATTTATTAGATTCGTCATTTGAAACTCGCCAACCTCCTATTTCATTATTAAAGATTAAAAGCTCTCTTGCTTTTGTTATATCCGATCGCTGTATTGTAAACGCATCTGTTTTGACACTGAACACATTAATGCCATTTTGATATAATTTAGAATAATCTTGATACATTCTAAAATTATGGTATTGAAGCAGTAGCTCTTTTACATACCTAAAACCATTCCTTAAGCGTGATGTGTCCTTTAAATTAAGTATATAACATGACGCCTGTTTTTTTTCTGCTGTATATTGTTCTTCATCTACTGTAATTTGTTCTGTCGTGAAATGTGTTAATTTATGTATTTTACCTCCATACTCTGCCTGATAGTTTAAAGCTTCCTTAAGATTTTTAAACACTGTGCTTTTCTGATCAGTTGCTCCCCCTTTTTCTAAGAGTCCATAATTAACATTTGCGATCAGTTTTTTTTAAATACACTTATCTTCTTCATTGTCTTCGCTAATGTTTGTGTTCCAAAGTTCATTAATAATATTTTTATGATCGACTTTGTGAATAAATGAAGGTTGTTTAAAGCATAAAATATTAATTCGTTCTCTTGTCATGTTATCTAGTTGTTTCAAAAGTACACCATATATTAAGCAATATTTTTTATTAAATAGCATTATTCCTGTCCGTTTTAGTATAGTAGTTTTCTTTTCTATATAATATAACGTTAAGTCGTGTAGATCATAAATATCAGTTGTATCATCAACCGATCGCCATATGTCGAATTGATTAAATACTGGTATTTCTGATATAGTAATAAACGCATGAGTAAATGCTTTTGATATATCGATTTCGATTTCATTTTTGATATCGCCCCTATCCCACAATAAGCCAGATGGAACAACTGTTCTGTCTTCGTCTAAAATTTGAATATCAATGTCATTATAAAACGATTTATGAGATAAGTTAAACAATGACTTATTAAAATTAAACATTGCTTTGCTCATATTGTTATATGTAGTTTCATCACATACTGCAATACATCCATCTGCAGAAGTTTTTATTAAGTTTTGTGTTTTTATTATATATATTGTTTTGTTAATTTTTTTTTTTGTTTCTGATGTAATACCAGCTTGAAATCTAATTCTTGGTTCGTAGCCACTACGAACTAAATTGAAAAATAATTCAAATAACTTATTGTCTTCGGATACTAAATATACCTCTTTTGATTTTTCATCAACTTCGATACTTAGTATATCGTCAATATTTCTTATCATTTTATAAAGCGGCGGTTCTTCTCTTTCATTAATATAGTAGTCAGTGGAAGCTTTGACAGTTGGTATCTTGGTTATTAATTGTTTCTGCTGAATGCTTTTTAAGTCGTGATTTAGTGCGTAAATATGACTGTTTTTGACCATTGCATAAAATGGTTTGATGTGCCTACTATTTATATCGGGATCGCATTTGTAAATTAATTTATTGCAACAATCATAAATTCTGCACGGAATTTTAAACTGTTTAAATACAGCCTCCATCTCCTGAATAGTTGCTCCCGTTTCGCCAAAGTTACCTCTACCTATAATTTCAATTACTTTCTCCCTAGTTAGTTTGTTACGGGTTTTTTCCATTCATAATTGTATCACTGTAAAAATCTGTTAATGCATCAATCCAGCATTCGTTTTCAATATAAGTGCCCTTGCTAATTGCCTTCTGTATGGTGTCTTCGCTCATCCTTAAAGGTGTATGTATATACCTATTAAAAATTGAAACATTAGTAGCATCCCTTAAATTGTCTGTAAGAATGCCAAACTTTTCGCCGCTTTTATTTACAATATCTACTGATAATATTTTAATACATTCTATATCGTTATAACATTGCGTCATATAATCATAATCGTCTTTAAAATCTTTGTCTCTTTGTAATAGTTTTAGTGTATCAACAAACTCATTGTTTATTGTATCACCTCTTAGTCCATATTCTGTATTGGGGTCGCCCATCCTTTTAAATATTTTTTTACCTATGATATCTTTAGAAAATGCAGTGGCTTTAATTGTAGCAGTAAAATTATCGTATTGTTTCGGAAAAAACGAATGTTGTCTGTGTTTGAATGCTGGTTTTGACCTTATGATTCTTGAGTCTTTGTGCCTTGATAGGTATAACATAAATTGAACAAAATATTTATTTTCCCCCTTCCTTGCTCTTGGTCCTGGGTCGTTATCTATCTTCAATTTCCCTCCC